AGGTTGAACTATAAATCGCAGCAACTACAACACCCAAATGTCAAGGTCTGTTTTCCCCAAACTCCACAGTGTTCACATTTGGGCATATTGAGTATTCGTGCCAAGTTTGGTCCAGATCCACCATTGTTTGAGTCCACAGTGCTCTCTGGATGTAGGTGAACTGCAACTCCAAAACTCAAGGTCAATGTCCACCAAACTTCTCCAATATTTTCTGTTGGTCATGGGAGTTCTGTGCGCCAAGTTTGGTTCAGTTCCATTGTTGGTGGACTTCAGAATGCTTTTTTTATTGTAGGTGAACTATGAATCCCAGCAACTACAACTCCCAAATGAGGCAAAAGTATTTGTGCCAAATATGGTCCAGTGAATGAAAATACATCCTGTATATCAGATATTTACATTACGATTCATAGCAGTAGCAAAATTACAGTTCTGAAATAGCAACAAAAATAATGTTTTGTTTGTGGATTACCACAACATGAGGAACTGTATTAAGGGGTCACGGCATTAGGAAGGTTGAGAACCACTGTGCTACAGCAAATCATATTTCAGAATCAACAGCTGAATTTCTGACAGTTGTACAATGGTTAAAAGCATAGCAGACCTACGAAACAATACATTTTAATGGCATCCTGTTAGACCCATTCAATCAATTGTTCAATGGTGCATCAACACGCAGGTACTGTAAATCCCACTGACTCAGTGAGCTCACTCTAGTCAAGACTAACAACAGAACTTAAGCCTTTGACTGCCCACTAGGTTAATGACACCTGTTGAGAATCTTATTTTCAGATTTCACAACACAACAATGGAAACAGATTTACATGCTTATTTTCCATAAAGAATACAGTAAATTAATATTGGTTTAATTAGCAAATGAAGATGATCAAAACTGATCATTTTTCTGTAGGCCAGGCTGAGAGTATAATGTTGGACTGTGTTTTATGAACAGATATATTTAGTACCTGGCTTTGATGCACATCTTTCCATTCCTTCATCAGTCACAAGGATGACAGAAGCCCACTTGAAAGTCAACCAGCAGCCTGGCCCAGAACAATGCGAATACGCCCACACCTCAGCTAAGTGACCCAGTTTTTCCATATCATCAGAGACAGTTCAATGCTGGAAGACAAGCTACTGAGCTTGTGAAAAATGAAAAATAATAATAATGCCAATTAAATTAATTAAGAACACTTTATTCTTGTATCTTGTTTCCCCTTTCATCCTTCCTTCTTACATTTAAAAATCAAGTTCAGCCGTAGCCTGCAATTTCAAAGACCGCTTTCTCCATCTTGAAATAAAATGCTACCTTCACATTGTCTAAGTAGATCCAAGTTGTCATAATCTGTATTCAAAATTCTAACTCGCGTCATTTATCTGCCTCCTGCTTGTGGCACACTATAATCATCCCAACGGATTTTAATTCAAGGCTGCTTGCATGAGGTCTATTGACTACTATTTGCATTGAAAGCTTTCCTCGGGGCTAGTAAAGTGACAGTCTTCCTGAATTCTCTTCCTCCCTCTTACTCACCCCCCAAGTTCCTCATATCTGGGTGCAGTTTGAGAATAATTCATGTGGCAGTTAGAATTCAGTATGTCCCCATTAATATTGACTATTGGTACGGTAGGAAGCTATGCACATCTACCTAGGGGCAGGACTCCCTGAAGAGAATCAGCACTACTTCCTAGATTCACAGCAAAAATAATAGGTGTGTAAGGCTGCTGGTAGGGCTCCCTGGTGGTGCAGCGGGTTAAAATGCTGAGCTGCTGAACTTGCTGACTAAAAGGTCACTGATTCGAATCCGGGAGTGGGGTGAGCTCCTGCTGTTAACCCCAGCTTCTGCCAACCTAGCAGTTCTAAAACATGCAAATGTGAGTAGATCAATAGGTACCACTTCTGTGGGAAGATGACGGCACTCCATGCAGTCATGTTGGCCACATGACCTTGAAGGTGTCTATGGACATCGGCGGCTCTTCAGCTTAGAAATGGAGATGAGCACCACCCTCCCAGAGTCGGACACAACTAGACTTAATGTCACTGTTACTTAAGGCTGCTAGTGCTGGAGGTTTGGGAACCAACTGGTACAGATGGGGCAGCTAGGTTATGAGGCACATATATAAAATCAAAATATGTCTGCCTGTCTATACCACAAAGGTTGTTGCTAGGTGACAATTCAGTGGTCTTTTGTGATATCACTGGATTGCCTGTTGCTAGGTGAAGGATTGGCTGTTGCTAGGCGAAGTGTCCTCTGTGATGTCACTGGGAAAGAAAGGTGACATGTATAAGAAGGGAAGTGAGGAAGGAAAGAGCTACCAAGAGAGCCATAGAGACATTGTAAGGTCCTCTCAGAGTTGGAGATGGGAGAAAGAGGAAGGAAAGAAAGAGAAAAAGTAGGGAAAGGAGAAGGGAGGGGTAATAAAGAAAAGGAGGGAAGGAAAGAAGGAAAGAAAAGAGGGAAAGAGAAAGAAGGAATTAAAGAAAGAAAGGGGACAACAACCCCTCCGGCACCTGTGAAACACCAGGTAGACATGCCAGTTAGGAGATAACATGCATAAAACGGGCCTATCTTTGGAGGATTCTGCCAACGGATGTGATCATGTGGACTTTTGTTGTGGTTGCTCTCCTTACTTACTTACTTACTTACGCGATCCCTCGTTGTCAGAGTATGATGGCCTTCCATGTGTAGTGCCTTGGTGGTTGGTACATAGGTGAATGTGGAGCCCTATTCTTGACCCGCATGTTCTTCCACAGTGAGGGCAAGGGTTTCCAGATGGAAAACGGTCCTGGTCAAGGATGGCTTGATGTGCCTTCTTCTTGGCACGCTTCTCCCTTTTTGTCCTCCATTCCTACCTCTTCAAATTCCGCAGCACTGCTGGTCACAGCTGACCTCCAGTTTGAGTGCTCAAGGGCCAGGGCTTCCCTGTTCTCAGTGTTTATGCCACAGTTTTTAAGATTAGCTTTAAGTCTATCTTTAAATCTCTTTTCCTGTCTACCAATATTCCGTTTTCCATTATTGAGTTGGGATTATAGTAACTGCTTTGGGAGATGGTGATCAGGCATTCAGATAACATGGCCAGTCCAGTGGAGTTGATGACGTAGGAGCATTGCTTCAGTGCTGGTAGTCTTTGCTTCTTCCAGTACGCTGACACTGTCCACCTGTCATCCCAAGAAATTTGCAGGATTTTTTGGTGGCAATCTGATGGAATCGTTCCAGGAGTTGAGTGTGACGTCTGTAGACAGTCCACATTTCATAGGCATATAGCAGGGTTGGGAGGACAATAGCTTTATAAACAAGCACCTTGGTATCCCTACTGTTCCATTTGTGGATCAATTTCACCAGTTCAGGTCAACTCTTTCCACCTGGTTTTGTTATGCTTCTCTGTTAGTGGTTTATTTTGCATTATAGAAGTTCAATATTTAGTTATTTATTATGATGTTGCATGCATGTTAGTGTGCTTACTAGGCACTTCATATTTTTATATTGTGTTTTTGTGATTTTTTAAAAAAGTTAGAAGTATCAATTTCAAAGAAAATGGCACATCCATTTCTGAAACAGTTAAACTCATGAGTTTATGAACTGACAGCAGGTCCTTGATCAATATAAATGTTAACAGCTTACACAGTAATTATATCCATAATTACTTTGTACTGTTCATCTATATATATTAAATCAATGCTTAACTACACTCACATCTCCAGAAGTAATTTATACAGAACCTCTCTTGGGTAAACATTGCAACTAAACAAAACTAAGTTGGTTCCGATAATAAATTAAAGCATTTTATGTGATTATCTTTGCACATCTGATCCTTCATTTTTTGCATTGTAACTAAAATGCTTAGATTTTAATTAAAACTTTCATATCCCCACCCTTCCAACTGAAGCTGACCATTATCTTCCATTAGCACTACTTCAATGGGGTGAGTGGCATAGAATCAATTTCCAAGGTAACTTATTTCAGGAAGAGATAATACTGGAGTGCATACATCTCTGGAAAAGAATCCCAATGTCTGGATGACAATCTCCATTTTCTGGAAGGAACCTAGTTTTCCTAGACTTGTAGGCATTGTGAGGATGATAATAATAATAATAATAATAATAATAATAATACATTTTTTTAATGTTCCGCTCTATTTCCCCAAGGGGACTCAGAGTGGATTACAGTATACACATATATAGGCAAACATTCAATACCTTTTATACAGTGAATAACAACATACAATACACTAACAAAGACAAAGGTTTCCCTTTCCATCACCGGTGTTTGGAGGCAATGTTCAACACTGGCCATGAGGAGGTGCTCTTGTTCCGTTTTCCATGCCAAGTAGCCTGTTGTCCATAGACACTCTTGGTCGTTTTACCTGGGAAGGTAAAAGACTGCAGGGCATCTTTTACCTTCCCAGCGAGGTGGTACCTATTGATCTACTCACATTACATCTTTTTGAACTGCTAGGTAGGCAAAAGCTAGGGCTGACAGTGGGAGCTCATCCCAACCTGGGGCTTCAAACTGCCAACCTTCTGGTCAAAAAGTTTTGCTGCAGCTAGCGATTTAACCTGCTGAGCTACTGCTGGTAAGAACATTAGCAATAAAGGCTTTGATCATATTTTCTTTGAGCACTTCTCTCAGCTGATCCATCAAAGAGATAATTTAACAGCCTCTGTATTGAATTGTATAATCTGTTGTAAAATGTCTTGGGAATAATTTATGTTGAAAAAGGAATTTACTTATTGATCAATTGTGGAGCTGTTTTACCCATCAAGTTTGTTGAGCTGGAAGTGCATTTTCACCTTCTTGATGCTTGTATTTTAATGTATTTTTAAACAAAATGATTTAGTCCTATTCTCTTGGAATAAATTGGTACATAAAATATCTCTCTCACTTTAATCAATACATACAATATTAAAGTACAACTACTTCCTGTGGATCCTATGTATATAATGGAAAGCTAAATTCCAATTCAGATGTTTTTGGTAACACATAAAAAATAAGACATGAAGACCATTTCATCCTGAATCATTTATTTTTTTGAGTAGAATAATTTATTTCACATAGGAATAATTCTGATATTAAGTGAACCTGCGTCATCAGCCTATATATATATGTATATGTAATACAATCCCAGAAATGCATTGGTTCAAATCATTCAAAATAGCTTTACTGATGGCTTTCACACAAAAGCCTTTTACCACCACAGTAATTCAGGATTAGGAGGCTAGAAACTTGAATGTAATTCAAGGTAGTTCAAGAATTAAAATATAAAATAGCAGCATAAATTCATCGTCTGGACAAGAGAAAATAACATAATGGGGAGAGCAGTGCTTTGGCATCTATTGAAGGCCAGATGCAAAAAGGGGTGCACAAAGGAGGGAAAAACTGAGGACCCCATTAAATAAATGTCAGTGAAGCCATTTATGTGGTCCTAAATCTACCCCTTGGCTTACACCCAGAACAGTAACACTTACTTAAGGTTACAGGCAATCTTTTCAGAAGGAAACAGACTACATGCAGCATTTTAATAAACATAAGGCAACCCAAATATGAGCAGCTATCTTTTTCCCTGCCCACCAATTCTCCCCACCTTCCAAACGAGACTCCATTATAATTTGACAGTGCTGAAAATCTTGCTTTTTCCACTCTGTCAGGAATGTGAACAGAGTTACATTCTCAGATAATAAGTACAGTAAGTATAAATTGATCTTAGTGCTTGTGAGTATGCAAATTTAGGATTAAAATTAATATATTTCCTTTTTATTTTTTTAAAAAAACAAATAAATTTGCAGGGTGCTAACTGGCAATACAAATACAGGCTGAGTATCCCTTATCCAAAATTATTGGGACTAGAAGTGTTTTAGAATACCTGTATTTGCATATATGTCCATAATGAGATATCTTGGGAGATGGGACCCAAGTCAACAAACATGACATTCACTTATGTTTCATAGATACCTTATACACATAACTTGAAGCTAGTTTTATATAACATTATTTTGTGCATGAAGCATTGAACCACCAGAGAGCAAAAATGACATGATCTCAGCCACTCATGTTGACAATTTTGGAGTATTTTGGATTTTGAATAAGGATTACTGAAGGTGTAATGTAAGAACTGCGTTTAAGTTGGAAGCAGGGTTTCCGGGGCTTTCTGAGATTACGGAAATGGTTGCAGAGCTAGTATTTAATTCAGAGGTCACATTGGATGCCAGCTGTTAATCATACTTAAAAGAGATGGACTAAAATTAATGGAATGTAAGTATGATTACATTTGGATCCAGCCTAGTGAAGTGGCTAAATTCAGAGTGACAGCTCCTAGCAAAATATTTTGAATAGCATTTCATTTCCAAACAGTGTGGACATTTCAGATTTAATCTTTGTATGGTACCAATCTTTTGGCTTATTTACTCATATGCAAATCTAAGGAGGACAGCCCAGTGATGACTGGAGCACAGCCTAAGCTCAGGGCTTCTAAGCAAGCCAAACTGCATTCCTAAGCTTCCATGAGCCTTAAGCATATCCCACTGAAATCAATGTAATCCCATTTTAAACCACTTTATGGATGATAATAGGCCTAAGTCCAGCCAATAGACAATAATTTAATGCAACTTGATTGTATTTCTTTAGAAAACATTTTGCCGCTAATTCATATTAGACACATACATTTATAGATGTACAAGCACATCAGCTGAAATTCAGCAGCTTACATATGAAGAGGTTTGGAGCTGGAGTTACAAAATATTTCAAAAATAGTTATTTATTCAGCATATCTGCACCAACAAAAACAAGATCAGACTATTTAGTGATAGCTTTGTGGTTATGCTTATCTTCCATATTATTCAATAAATCCCTCAAATATTTTTATTGCTCTACAATGTTAAATTGTATTGATAGTAGCAACAAACCAAATTATTCTAGAGAAGCCCATCTTCATTGTGGGATTTCTCTGCACTGGAGTTATTAGAAAGTAATAAACAGTAAATAATTCCAAACATTTCAATACAATTTCAGAGAGATTTCCCACAACTGGGCTGCATTTAAGCTTAGTTTGTTGTTGAACGTTATTGCTAGCCCAACATTACCAGGCATATCTATATGCATTGAAGTCTTTTGCCGACATGCCTGACAGTAAGCTCCCTTTGCTTTTGAGCCGATTTATGGAGACCTGCACCGTTGTCCTCTTACATGCTTTACAACAGGGAAGGGGCCAAGTCCCAACCTACTTCTATAACCTAAGAGTTTTTGTTCACAATCTGAAGTAACAAAAAGCCATTTTGAGTTTTCAGAAAAGGCCCCTGATATGTCTGAAAAGACCAAGAGGCTCCTGGAAGTGGCCTCAAGTGAACAATGATGCCTCCTAGATACTTATGAGGATATGCCTACTTAATTATTGCCTCTTCCTGAGAATTTGGGGAGCAGGGGGGAAGGTTGTGAAGCTGTCCAACATTCAGGGGAGCTGATATAGATCCCTACTTATTACACTCTGTTGCTCTTAATCTACAATAGCATCCAATATACAGCCATTTAACCCATGGCAGTTCCCTTCTGTAATGCAACCCATTGAGACTTTTTCCTTTATTATCTATCTATCTATCTATCTATCTATCTATCTATCTATCTATCTATCTATCTATCTATCTATCTCAAAATAGCACCTAAGATATGGTTTTCATTCTACTTTTCATTTGGCATTTACCTTTCAATGTTAACTGTCTACAACCTCCACTCATAAAACATTAGCTGAATAGACACTGACAAGGTAGGCCACAATAAAAGCATAATTATCTATTAAAATGCAATGACAGACTTTACAGGAACTTTTAACAACTCATAAGGATATATATACATTGTAATTTAAAAATTTCCTACAGAATAGGAACCAAATTACATGATGGTTAAGGATGTCCCTTCCTTTCCTTTCACTTACTGCTCACTTTTTTCTTAGAACTTGGTAAGTAACAACTAAACAGAAACTCCACTAATTTGGCATCATGACGCTAGGACACATTCAGCAATATGCAAACCTCAGAACTGAGCCTAGAAACGTGTATATATTAGGTGGGTGGGCAAAGCAGTGCAAAATATGGTTTCAGTTAACATACTGATTCGTGTATTTATTTCCAGACACATTCTTTGGTTACATTCTATAGTTTAAGAAATAAATACAATGGCAGCAATTGTTTGAAGTAAAGGCTACATTATTTTCAGATAGGCGATAATGTGTCTTTTTCCTAAGGCAAGATGGTACAAGTTGCTTCAAAAGAGACCCTCTGTTATACCCATAAGCGGTAAAATCCCAGTGCTACCGTAAGGCATGTAAATACTGAACCTGTAAGAAAAAAAAGGTGGGGAAAAAGTACACACCCAGTCAAAACGTAATCCCTTTGAAAGCACCAATCTGACAACACAGACATAATACTTCAAACTTCAACCTGAATCTGCAACTATGCATTATTAGACAAACATGGAAAGCAAGAGGGATGTGCACGTTTACAGACGCACAACTCATGATCTGCATTTTGTTTTTGAGTGCCACTTTTGAAAACGGCGCCTTTCCAAATGAGCTTTTTAGGGTACCCACTCCTGCCTGCCTTTCATATTGAGTTTATTTTCATTCCGGGAAATATCATGCCATCTGAATGGACAGAACGAAATGGAAACACAAATTAAACAGATGACACATATACCAGGTCCATGATTAGTATACAATTGGTCCTCCCCACTCACTGGTTTGACATTCACTGATTCTATTATTTATTTATTTATTTATTTACTTTATTTCTATACCGCTTTTCTCAGCCCTCAGGCGACTCAAAGCGGTGAACAACATCAGTACAAAATATCACAAAACAAGTATAGGGCAATTAAAAACAATTATCACATAAATCATTAACATCAGTATAACAATCATATTTGTCAGTATGCTATCAGCCCACAATGCTGTTTTCTTCTACTGTCTAAAATAGGAGCAGTGCTTTGTTCAGGAGCAGTGCTTTGTTCAGGTTCAGGTTACTTAGCTCATCGAGACAGATTGAAATAAGCCCTCCCATACCTTGGCTCGGTCTGTACTCCCATCTTGATGGGCTAAGGAGCATTGAGGAGTGTGTGCCTGGCGCCTGGGGGCTGTGGCCAACTCCTTTCAAATGCCAAGCCCACAACTGTAAAATCAAGGCCATCAAAGCAAGAAAAAGTAGTCCTGTATCCTATGCCAGAAATTACTTTATAAAAGCTTCAAAAATTATAAAAGCTTGAAAAAAAGTTGTTGTTTTGGAACACCACTCAACACAACCATATTGACTAAGTAATTCAGCTTTATTGTGCCACTGAAATGGTGTTGTATGAATGTGCAGGCAGCAACCTCAGTCTTCAGTAGAGGGTTGGCTGTGGCAATGCTTAGTGCCTTCCCCTTCCAAAAACTGAGGCTATTGTGCAAATGTGCAGGCATTATGTGCAATATGGGAAGGAGGGTGGGGCACCACATACACATTGAGCTTCCCATTTTGCAAAACTGAAAAGCCCTCTGGGCTTGCTCCCTTCCATATTTACTGCTGCCCACTAAATCTATCGGTTTTCTACTTTCCTGGGAGTCCTGTGTCCTTAATCCCTGTAAATGTGGGGGACCAACTGTATAATGGTAAGATATGTAATAAATTACTGTTTTATCATCTCACTAAGATTTAACAGAAGATCTACTGTATATGATAATCTTGTTGAGCCTAATCAGACATTTCTTTGTTCTAAATCAATGGGCACACTATCACAAAACAGTTTGTACCATTAGTCAAGCAAGCATAACTTTTGATGTAAAGATACCTAACAGATGCATATATACAGCAGACAACTGAGAAAGGAAACTAGACACATGCAGTGGGACAGATCTACTTACCTGCTAAATATTTAATGTTGTCAAGTTTGTGCGATTCAAGCATTGTTTTCAGACCTGCAACTTCAGTGTCTATTTTCCTGTCTGTTTGCGTTAAAGCCCGATCTTGATGTGCATGCTTAAAAGAAGAAAGGTGATGTTTCACTATTGCGTAAATATTTCCACTAGAAAAGACCCGAATCTCTGAAAGGTAACTTTTTACATAATTACTTTACATAACTCAAACTTGTAAGAAGAAATTGTCATTTAAACAACCTACCCTTGAAGTCAAAAGGGCTTTAGAACTCTTAGCTAGCATTTTGAATTGTGCCCGTGAGTGAAGCTATTGCAACAACGAAGTTGTGTTTCCTGTAGCCAATCCCAGTTATTTCATTTCATTTTTTTACCTATTGACACACCCATTCAATTAACAAACCTTTGCCATGCAAATTTTACCTCAATATACATATACATTATTCCAAAAGTCACTTTACCTTATATGATGGTTTATATATTCCTCAGATGTGTATCACCCGTAACCCATACTCTTCTCCTCTATTTTCCCCCTCCCTCCTGGAACAGCAATTCCAAATGATGTCATTGCATCAATTTAACCATGTGGAAAGCCTGGTTCAAAATGCTATATCTATCATCTCTGTCTATTTTGTCAGTTAGACCATTTCTTATACCAGTCTTCATTTGTATGACTATTCATATACTTGTTTTTCTTTGATTAATGAAATCATTGATTATTCCAAGAGATAAGACTACCAAGTTTCCAAATCCCATCTTGTATTGTCTCTACATCCTCAGGCTATCTTATCCTGTATTGTGGCTATCATATATTTTAGGATTTCTGTCCAATTATTGTTATCTTTCTTTGCCTCTATAGTTAGAGACATGAATCTAGCTTTATCCTACTTTTTTCCATTACATTTCTTATTTTACTGCAATAGTTCTGGATTTTTCTGCAATTCTACCATATGTGGCCAATCCCAGTTAGCAATCTGGTTTGCAGCTCTTTGGGCCAGATGAAATTTCCAAATATTCTTCAAAAGCATGTGTCACTATGGGCAGATATGACATCTCAGGGAATGGGTGCAACTAGTGCTTACATTTTAACTGTGCAAATGCACTCCAAGCCACTGTTGAAAGGTGAGTTTCCAGGGTCAGAGCTGAATCCAGGAACACAACCAAGCTATGGAGCTGAATCTTCAGCTGGACTGTAGTCCCATCCAGCACAGGCTGAATCCATCTCCCCTCATCTGGCTTTCAACTAACCAGGAGCCCTGTGATTTATCTGGTCCATTACTGATAACAGGTGCTGATCTAGGACCAAAATGTCTCCCTCATTTTGTGGTGATATCCTCATATAGATGGCACCACACTCAAAAATGCTGGACCATCTCCCAGAGGTTTCATGTTTATGTTAAATAGCACGAGGGACAGAATTGGGTCCTGAGGGGTCTCACGGGCTAGTGACCAAAGAATCAAGGAGAAGTTTCTTAGCACCACGTTCTGGGATCATTCATCCAGGAAGGAATGAATTCAAGTATAAAATAGTGATGCCATGGCCCATTCCAGCAAGCAACCCAGAAAGATACCATAGTCAATGATATCAACAACACATTAAGACTATAACACAGTCATATAATATTACATGATCCATAACTTTGAGCTTATAAAAGTGTAACGCAGAAAAATTATATGATTTATACAGCACATCCATTACTTCCTACCAATTCAGGATAAAATTATACACACTAAACATAATTTTTGACACAGAGAAAAGGTATTTTATTCTAATGTTACAAATATTTAAGTGTTCTTTTTATGAATGGAAGTATATGTACTTCTGTGCAATATATACAGAGGAGATAGATGCTTCAGTTCGCATTTCTTACCAATTCCACGATTTCTGTTCTCATTTTCAAAAATTTTCTCTCATTAAGTGAAAACTGAAAAATAAAAGCATCAGATTATGTTCTGATGTAAAACAATGTATTCATCTGCACTTTTTGGTAACATGGTTTTTTTATTTATAATGTCCCCCAGCATCAATGTAACAGCTTCTGGCTTTAAATGCTACAGTCTTTATTCTTCTACATCAGGGGTCCCCACACTAAGACGGGCGGACCAAATGCAACCCTGCAAGGTCATTTCCCCATCCAAATCTCTAGACTTAGGACTGCCCTAAGTCTGACACTACTGGAAGGCACACAAAAACAACAATCCTAATTAAACTGACTAACTCGTCATCCAAAAGCAGGCCCACACTTCCCTTTGAAATACTGGTAAGTGTATGTTTGTTAAATTTTTTCTCAATTTTAAACATTGTATCATTCTTTCATGTTTTTGCACTACAAATAAGATACGGGCAGTGTGCATAGGAATTCATTCCTGTTTTTTGCTAACAATAATCTGCATCCCCCAACAATCTGAGGGACCATGAATTGACCTTCTGCTTAAAAAGTTTAAGGACCCCTGTTCTACATCATAGCTTTCCAAACTGTGTTTTGCAACATGTAAGTGTGTCAACTTTAGTGTGTTGGTCTGTCATGTGAACGTAACGAAAAACATCTAAATCTACATAAAATAAGCAATATATATCATATATTTTTACAAATATAAATGAAATGTTTTCTTGAGATATGTTGTTTCCCCAAATTTTGGTATTACAACTTATGGATGTATCCTTATCTCTTATAACGGATTGGTTTAACCTCCAGTTTGCTGGTAGAACTGAATTACTGTGTTATGAAATTATTCATGTCTAAAAAGTGTGTTAACATGAAAGGTTTGGAAAGCTCTGTTCTATAGAATGACCATGCCAATGCTATGAATTAAGTTATCAAAAAAATACCATCCATCAAGATTTAAAACTAAATACTGGTAAATGTACACAGAATCTGGAAAGCCATTCAATATGCTTTTCAATTTTGTTTGATAACTCAGAGAGTTTTTTAGACTGCCAAAACACTATTTTTGCTATGTATAATAACGTATATATGAGTATAAAATGCACACTTTTCATTGTTATTAAGCATTCAGAAAGCAAAGCTGCGGAGGCACTAAACCATTTTTCCATATGTGCTTTAAGAGACAGATGTTCTACTTCCTAATCATATTTTAAATCTAGTACTTTTGTCACTCTATTCAACACTATTCCTAAAATATCCTTGCACAATTCTTTAGATCAGGTGTGGTGGAGTTTCTGACTAATTTATCTATGGCAGTGCTTTTGAATAATTTTATGTGAAAGAAAAACATACATACCAATTCTTTCACTCTGCTTTTTTCTAGATTGAAATCTAACTTGCTGTCAGTGCGTACTTTGGAAGTTTCATCCTAGAGAAAAAATGTACAACATTAAAAACAAAAAGACTGTTTACTGTTATTCAGATTCCTTAACCATTTTGTAAGAAAAGCAACACTGTATTTAACGTTTCTTTGATTAATTTATTTCCCTCCAAACCTCTAAAGTGTTATTTTTCTAATTTTGCTAAAACAAGTGCCTCTTGAATGTGGGGGAAATGGATCTTCTGACCCCAAACAGCAGGGTAAAGCAATACTATCTTTTCATTTAAAAGAGAGGTAAGCAACTTTGAGTCATTTGTGGTGATATTTCCCACTCGCACTATCAGATCACTTCCAATTTCAGTTTTGACCAGTTTTGGCAGGTTTTTGCAATGTTTTGGGATCATTTGGACATTTGAGAGGCTGGAGATTGAAAATACAGTGTTTTGCAGCAGTTATGAACTCTTTGGGTCCATTCTGGGGCAACAAACAAGCAAACCTGTCCACAAATAAAATTGAAAGGGAGGAAACTGGGGACCTCCGGGGCTATGAAACAGGGTCCCAGTGCTTACTCTTTCCCCACTAAAGGCATAAGTAGCGCAAGTAAAAAGCCACACAGAAATCAGTTGCCATTATTTTATGTACCTCAACACCCACTAATTACAACTGTGAACAACTTCCACTGACTAAACTACCTATTAACTATATATAACCCCCCCCCCCCCTTTTCAACAACATAAGCCTCACTGATACCAGTGAATGGTAGATAAATAAGGGTAAGAGTTCACATGTTCTGTGATCTGATTGCATTTTTGTGCCATATTAATCTGGTCTTTAATTCATTTCTCCTCTGCTTTTTTATTATATTACACATTTTCAACTATTTTAAGGAACCCCACACAACTCTTTTACATAAACAACTTGGATGGTGGGGCTAGGTCTGTAAAACAGTGTACAAATATCAATAATTTCAGGTGGATGCAGAAATGTACCAAGCTCAGACACCAAAAGACATTTCAGCAGTTTGCCAATACCAGCTACAAAGTGAAAAGAGCAGTCTTAGAAATCCCCATATATTTCTCCAGTCTGGATTAAAAGGCAAGTCAGGAGAGACTTTCCTGCTTCTCTCCACCTTATAAGCTGTACATAGGGAACCTGCTCCCACTAGGAACACTTATTACCCCCTGCATGTATTATTCTGCTCCCAACAGATGCTTTCAGAGATACAACCTGGGAAAGTAGTCTCCATGCAAATAAACTGGAGACTATGGACTCCACCTGTCTACAAAATGACTTCCTTCAAATGTGCAAGGGGGAAATGAGAAAGCCAAGTTGTTTCCTAATTATGGGGCTCACCTGTGAGTCAATTCAATGTGAGCTATGGGGAAGTAATGTAAACTACTATGCATACACAATCCAAGTATTTTGTGGTTTGATCCAAATTCAGCCTTTGAGAGATTCAGATGAAACTGATCCCAAATCAGTTAATGATTCCAGATGGTATTTTTAATGACCTTTTCAGTGGGGTCAGGCCAAGCTAATATGACCTATGACAACTTCTCCTTGAGTTATTGCTCACTAAAACTAAATCCATTAAGGAGATTTCTCTCTCACACATAGATAACAAATAATTTATCTTTTGGGGGGGGGGGAGGAGGTATCTACAACATTCTTCTTATGGCAAAAAACACAAGTATATGAGAATAAGTCTTCCAAAATTTGGGGCTAGGCAAGCTGTCTCTATTAAACCCCCAAGACCACAACAAAAATGGTGATGTGGCCCAAATCTTCTCTTCACAGAAAAATCTGTACTGTTTGGAAGCATCCTTAACTAGTCCTACAAAAAGCAATTGATGCTAGGAATATGTTATGTTGATTGGCTCTTCTCAAGATTCAACACTTCAGTTAATTCACAGCCACCATCACCTCTTACTTGAAGAGGACATGATATGGGATCATTCTAGGTTTCAGGTCTTTTACCTTGACCCAGCTTATCATATGGGTGGCTAGAAGGCCGATTAACCAATTACCAGTCCCACATGCGTACTTCTTTGTTCTTTTAGCACCATATCTCCTCCCTTAAAATCTTCTGCTCTGTAAGTATTCTTTGTGCCCTCTTCCTATGGAACTCACTGCCTCAAAGTGTGGTGGCAACTCCTTTGGAGGCTTTTAAACAGAGGCTGGATACTCATCAGTCAGGGGTGCTTTGATTGTGTTTTTCCTGCATGACGGGGGGGAGGGGAATTGGATGGTCCTTGTGGTCTCTTCCAACTCTATGATTCTATAGCGGTCTCTGCTGCTAATAAAGCTAAAAGTGTCTCTTTCGCTTTTCCACATAATCCTTCTCTAGTTCACCTACGTTTCACTCCAAGCAGCTCCCGTTGCAACCAGCTGCAGTTATACCGTTGTTTATCTCAGATTCACCTTAAGGACATGTTTGATTCTGTTGGAAATAGTAACCTACCAAACCTCCACTAACTGTTTGTAAATGTATATAATTTTTAACCTCTATTGCATGTACCTCTATTGTGTGGGAGGGGCTTCAGACACAGGACTCAATTTTTGTTATACAGTATGCTTATAGATCTCAATGGAGGTGGATGCAGCTTGTCTCCTTTCAGACTTCAGTGTGTACAGTTGTACAGTTTGGACTATATATACTTTAAAGACTATGGACAATTGATTAAGTATTATACCCTGAGAAGAAACTACATCTTATCTAACTGAACTCTAGTAAGAAAAATGTGCATGTATGCTGAATATATACAAAAAGTTTGTTAGTAAACCTGAGATGTTATTTTTTAAAGAAGATTATTTTGTTTTTGTCTCTTGAGTGCATATTTTAACTAAGAGGCTTCAAGGGAGTCTTTTGGACAATTTCAAATTTCAACTTCAGAGAAACAACCATTTTCTGCTAACCATCTATATTTCATCCATCTGAAGTTCAAGTATTTTTGTAGTGCCATGTCTTTATCTTTGGCAGTTTAAAGGTGTGGTTCTTCAGTTTAACAGCTGAGTTACCTGTGTGCCATTACATGAACATTTATGAATATCACTTGTTCAAAGGATTGACTTCTAACAAGGTCATGCTTTCCTTGACTAGTGGTTTTCAAAAGGCAGTCTCCACATGCTCATGGAGACTCACATTTGCCAAAGGGATGTGACATCATTTTTACCTTTTCAATAAGGTTATGGTGCACTTATTTCCAATAGGTTATGGAATTTCCAATAGATTCTACTGCCATTTTGACTCAGCATGAATTGAACACTACAGACTCAGCTTACTAGGACAATGCTCTCTGTGACTGCTCCATAAAATAATGCTCTTATTTAGGGTTAAGCATATATGGTACTCCTGGCTGAACCAGCAGACAAGATTGCAAGTACTATCACCTGTGACAATGCTATTTACTTGTTTCTTTGTTCAAAGCATTAACAGCTTATATAATGCAATTTTACATTTACTCAGAAGTAAGACCAGCCAAATCCTATGGGACTTGAGGGTCATCTATACTGTAGAATTAGTGCAGAATTAATGTAGTTTGACCCCACTTTAACTACCATGCCTCGATGCTGTGGAATCATGGACGTCCCAGCCAAGTAGTGCTGATGCCTCACCGAAGTACAACTTCCAAGATTCCATAGCATTGAGCCATGGAAGTTAAAGAAGGTCAATTAATTATACAGTGTAGGTGCACCTTGAGTCCCAGGTAAATGAAATCTATAAAAATCTAACAGAAAGTAAAAACATGCAAAATGGCTAACTAGAAATTATATTATTCAGTATCTTACCATTACTTGCTTTTTCAGCTGCTGAAGTTCAAGTTTTATTTTCTTTGCAGTAAAAAAGAAAAGACTTAACATCAACATAAGATACAAAGTAGCAGTGTATGCATCTTGAGCTACAATCAATTCAAGTTACTTTGATGCCACTGAGGAAATAATAAGTGGAGATTTTGGAACTTCAGAACTAATATTTCAAATATTCTTGAACAATTACAAAAATCAGACTGCTCATAAGCAGCTATATAGCTTTCAGTATGAAAAATAGGCAATGCTTGTAACCTTTATATGCTATGTAAAGTGGGGGAAATAAGCCTTCCTTTCTGAAAAAAACAAAAACAAATTCCACGTGTCCTTTAGTTTTTCCTGAAATGAGCTGCAAATGTATTTAACAGACTATGCTAGCTGTATCTGTCGAACATGAACTAAATTAACTGATGTGTCGTATTCTGTTTGGATATTTTTTTAAATCACTAAAATCAAAGTAAATTTACCAGGAAATTGCTTTTTCTGTTTTGTACAATAAGTACTGTCCCTGTTCAATTCAAAAGTTATCACCACATTTTGTTTTCTATGGTTATTTTTACTGGTATGTTTTCTCTTTCAGACATAGAAAATCCTGTTCCAAAAAACCAGATTTAGTATACAACAAAACCAAAGGCCACTTTATAGTCTCCAACACTATTTCTGTTCCTGGTTTGAAAGTGTTGTTTCCTATTTAATTGTGTGGCACTTACTTTGAAAGTAGTTGTCATACTTCAGAAACATTGTTACTGTAATTTTGTAATTTTCTTTAGTAAAAATATGCCATTTTAACCTTTAAATGTGTAGACCACCACAAAAACAAAAGTTTTTGCAGTTTAATAAACTTTCCCCATGTTTTTATGATAGAACCAATTAGGAAATGACATTTATAACATAGGAACTAAAATTGTGTTACATAATGTAATTGCTATAATGTTTTCTTTACCTCTAGACTGGGGTGACTCATAATGCATTTTGTGGTTACAATAATGAACAAAAACATAAATCCAATGTAGTGTAGATAAACAGCCACTTTTATGGCTGCTTTTACCTCATTTTCTGCTCGGAGCGCTGAAAATTCACTTTTCTCTAAAATAATCATATCTTTTTTCACAACACCAATACGAGACATTATCTGTTGAAGAGCTATTTCCTGTAAAAGAAAAAAAATAGTACTACTGGTGCTACTACTTTCATCATACCAAAAACTATTATGAACTAGTATTTTAGTACTAACTGGAAACACGGTGCTCTATGCAGTCATGCTGGCCCCATAACTTTGGAGATGTCTACGGACAATGCCGGTTGTTCGGCTTAGAAATGGAGATAAGCACCACCACTCCACCCCCCTCCCCCGAGTCAGACGCGACTAGACTTAAAGTCAGGAGAAACCTTTACGTTTACCTTAACTGAAAAAATGCCCCAGAACCTCATTTAATCAAAAATGCACTGTCTCTATGCAGAGAAGAAGTCCCACCAGCATTCCCGCGTTGTGCATTATTTGAGCTAGATGGGCATACCACTAGATAGACAGAGAATAGATTTTATGGCACTGCCCCATGTGCAATAATACACTCACACAAAACATCATCCCATTACTGCTCTATTACAGGATGCCATAATCTAATGCTCATTTTAAAACAGCACCAAATAAACTACAGCAGGTCTCATTTCAATGAGCTTGTTCAAGTTATGTATACATTTTTTTGGGGAGCCAAGTTGAACTTCCAGAGGGCTTAAAACTGATACAATTGGTATGAAAAGACATTCAGTTCCTTGAGAAGTCCTTTGCATCCATGCTATATGTTCAGAAGAAAGGGAACAAGGACAATGAAAGAGGGCAGTATTGGGTACTGTTATTACATTTGTAAAAATATGAGCCCCTGCCATTCATTTGTTGTTTAGGTCAGGGCATAATAATCCTAAGACGACAAATCTTAAACATAATCTTTCTATTGTTAAACACGTTGTATAACTAACACAGGAAATTATTTTTTCAAAGAACTGATACTGTTATGCACTGAATGCAATGGGTCTGTTTTAAGTCTGACTATTTGACAATATTTAAGTATTAACAATTCTATACATGCCCATTGAATCTAATGCACATTTCAATTCTCAAACCCCTGAAACCAAAAAAAGTATTTGCTGTCAAATCTAATGTGCAGCAGCAAAAGATGCACTCTTTGTAATCTGCCATTACAGTTGTTGCCTGCTTAGAATTCCTTCTTTAAAAACAAAAGTGTTAGAATTCCAAAGCTTTCAGCAATGGAAAATAAAACCTTGGGATGCTCAATGCTATGGAGTTATCGGGGCTGTAGTTTTGCAAGATCTTGAGCCTTCTTTGCCAAAGAATGCAGATGCCTCACCACACTACAAATCCCAGGATTGCATTGTGCCATAGTCATTAAATTAGAGATGATATCTGTCAAATAGGAGCTCCAGGTGCAATTTCTCCTTTTGCTTTGACTCAAAACTAAGATTACCTTATTATGTGAATCTAATGTGCACCCTAATTTTGGCAAGTAATTTAGCCAAGAAAAGGTGACTACTAGATTTGAGTAAATAGGGTATATATCTTTCTCATAAGATATATTTAATATAATTAACCTGTTGTATTTTTGTGAGCATGTCCTTGTATATCACATCCATGTTGCTCTTCATAATGTTCATTAAAGCTGAAACAATGACTTCAGACTGCTGTGTAGTGAATCCTACAACACAGAACATTGTTATTTCATAAATATTAATTATGTGTAATTTACATAAAACATAAACAAAATCTCTGAGACATGTAAAGGCAATCATTGGCAATCCTTTATATATTAACATACACAGGAGATAAGCTTAATCTTTCCCATGGCATCAGCCCAAGCGCTGAGGTAGCACTAAAACTCGTCTGAAGTCAACTCATATAAGTAACTCCCACCCATGGAAAAAAGCACATACACAGAGGCAAACAGAGACCCTAACTATTACTACTGAATATGTGTGTGTACACACACACATCCATTTATCTATACACATAATTAATTAATAATACACATAATAAAAGTAAAAATATGCATGTGTGTAGCTGGGGTGTCCACTTATACAGACAGGCCAAAATTTGATTACTGGAGGGGCTTGGGGAGAACTGGCCTTCCTTTCTGGAAGTTGTAGTTAACCCACAACCAGAGACACAGTGACCTCCACCGATGATGGACCTGGACCTAACGTGGCACACAGAACCCCCATGACTAACTCAATCTACTGGAGGGGTTTGAGGGGACTGACTCACCATAGTGGAAGTTGTAGTTTACCCTACAGCCAGAGAGCACACTGAACCTCACCGATGATGCATCTAGAGCAAACTTGCTCAACTTAATAAACGTTAAGTACTGATGGAGTGTCGGGGTTAATCTGGCATGATGTGAGTTGTAGTTCACCCACAACCTTATGCATTTTGTACAATTAAAAATAATTGACTTTTTCAAATAACCCTGGCAATGTCGGGTCCCCAAGATAGTATATCAATAAATAAAATCAAATTACCATTTGCTTCCAGGAGGCACACGAGGGCATGAGTGTCAAAATAAAGCTTTCTGCTTCCAGACAGAGAAAAACTACCTTTGGTGCTTTCGGACTGTATAGGTGATGCAGAAATGTTTACATCTAAATAAGAAAGAAGTGTCAGCATAGAGTAAGAAGATATTGACAATGTGAAATAACCCTTCCTGACTTAGTCTTGGATAATTGTATAAATATTTTGCAGTGACAATATTTCCCTTTTTAACAAGTCCCAGCTTTTATTGGGAAAGATACTAAGTTCATCCCTATTGGAGTACTTTCATTATGGGATTTCCCAGCAAAAAGAGTAGAATTACAATAGGAAGGCATACATATAAATAATAATAATAATAATAATAATAATAATAACAATAATAATAATGTAATCCTCCTTGAACTTTGGGGAGTGGGCAGGTAAGAAATAATAACAACAACATTGTAACACACCGTAGGCCTCAGGTGGGAAATGATGATCATGTATTGTCGAAGGCTTTCATGGCCAGAATCACTGGCTGTAAGTTTTTCGGGCTGTATGGCCATGTTCCAGAAGCATTCTCTCCTGATGTTTCGCCTGCATCTATGGCAGGCACCCTCAGAGGTTGTGTGGTCTGCTGGAAACTAGGAAAATGGGGTTTATATATCTGTGGAATGTCCAGGGTGGGAGAAAGAACTCTTTGTGAATGTTTCAATTGGCCACCTTGAGTGGCATTTAATGGCCTAGCAGTTTCAAGGTGTGGCTTCTTACTGCCTGGGGGAATCCTTTCTTGAGAGCTGTCCCTGATTGTTTCTTGTCTGGAGTTCCCTTGTTTTTTTAATGTTGTTCTTTATTTACTGTTATCATTTTAGAGATTTTTAATACTGGTAGCCAGATTTTGTTCATTTTCATAGCTGCAGGTGAAACATCAAGAGAATGCTTCTGGAACAAGGTCATACAGCCTGAAAAACTTCCACAACCCAATGTTTTTGTTTTATTATATTATTATTTTACTGTTAAGTAATTTTATTTGATGTTATTGTCTGTTTATTTTGCCTTATTGTTATTGTTTGGGCTTGTCCTCATGTTAGCCACCCCAAGTCCTTATGGGGAAATGGTGGCGAGGTATAAAGTTTATTATTATTTGATGTTATTGTCTGTTTATTTTGCCTTATTGTAATTGTTTGGACTTGGCCTCATGTTAGCCACCCCAAGTCCTTATGGGGAAATGGTGGCGAGGTATAAAGTTTATTATTATTATTGTTATTATTAACTAGATGTCCCCTGCCACATGTTGCTGTGGCCCAGTCTGTGTATATGTTTTGTGTGTGTATATATGTGGTTTTGCGCATGCATTGTAATGATTTTTTTTTTGGCTTTTTAAGTCTCTTTCACTGTGATTTTCAGTGTTTTTATGAGTGATGGTCACTTGTTGGCCTGATAGTTTTACTGTTTTACTTGATGTTTTATTATTTGCTTATGAGTTTATTGTGTATTGTATGTTGTTGTTGTCAGCGGCTTTGGCCTTTGTAAGCTGCATTGAGTCCTTTGGGGGATTTTGCGGGGTATAAATAAAGTTAATAATAACTAAATAAATAAATAAATAGGTGTATTGTGTCCAAATTTGGTGTCAGTTAGCCCAGTGGTTTCTGAGTTATGTTAATCCCACAAACGAACGTTACATTATTGTTTATAAAGATGATGATAATGATTACGTATGATTACATCTTATTTGCCTCTCCCCCAATTCTTGGGGAGGGTTACAATACAATAAATAAGAAGATAAAACCATTTCAAACACAGATCATAATCCACAGCCAGTGGTTCTCAACCTGTGAGTCCCCAGGTGTTTTGGCCTTCAACTCCCAGAAATCCTAACAGTTGGTAAACTGGCTGGGATTGCTGGGAGTTGTAGGCCAAAGCACCTGGGGACCCACAGGTTGAGAACCATTGCCGCAGAGTAAGACTAAGACACATGTTCTTAAACCACCTCACCTCGCCCTTCGACGGCCCGACTGAGGAAGCGCGGCCCCGGCGCACGCGCACTCCGGGCTCCCGGGAAAGGGTCGCGCGCCCCGACTGCGCTCGCGCCATGGGCTCCCAGCGGCGCGAGGGAGCCCGCGTGCTTCCCGTCTCCTAGGCAACGGCGCGTGACGGGCCAGACCGTGACGCCGCGCCGTCGAGCGCCGCCAAGGAGAAGAGAGCCCGACTCCCGCTGAAGGAAAGAGGCCGCCCTCCTCCTGCTCACCACCCACACCGCGGCTCTCATCCGGCCTCCCAGCATCCCGAGGCTAAAGGGCCTTCTTCCTTCTTCGTTCCATGGCTACGGCACTCCTCTCGACTGTCCCCTCTCTCTCCCACACGCCCCACAAGCTGCTACTTCCGGGAACACAAGCGGGCCGCTTCGGCGTAGCCACTGCGCATGCGCCCCGACATTGCTTTGGATGCTTTTAAGGGCAGCCACTGCGCACGCGCAACCATCAGCAGCGGGTTGTATCGAGAGACGGTGCAGGGTTGCGTCTACGCTGCAGAATTAATGCGGTTTGACACCATTTTTAACTGTCATGGCTCAATGCTGTGAAATCTACCGGGTTGTAGTTCTACAAGCGCTTCTTGAATACTGGTGTCTACAACTCTCATGAATCTCTAGCCATGGCAGTTAAAGCGGTATCAAGCTGCTTTAATTGTGCAGTGTAGATGCAACCTTTGTTGAAGTTGTTTTGGACCAAACTATGTATCTTTTTCAGTCTTACCTTAAAAAGAACAGTCAAGGAACTCCAGTACCAAAAGAAATGCAAGAGTGGGGTTAACTGACCCCACACATACACCACCTTCAAAACAGAAGGCTGAAAAAGAGTGACTATTTATGTAGGAGTAAGTATCACACTTTGGTAAGGAAGGCTAAATAGTACCTTGCAAAACTACAGCTCCCATGATTCCATAAGCATTAAATCATGGCAGTTAAATTGCATTTATTCTGCTGTGTAGATTTGTACAGTAACTGAACAATGCTTGGAGGGCTATACTATTATCATATTCGACTAATTAAATTGGTTCATATGTCAGCTACAGCTCTTTTTTGTGTTCGAGTTAGAGAATTCTCCCAAAAATATCAGAGCATCCAAAAATATAAACAAGATACTTAATTGAGCAGTCAGCTCACAGCAAGCAGAAAAGTGAAGCCTCCACACTGTTCTCCCTTCAGAAGGAATTTAAGGCCTGGATGTTTGGACAAGCTTTTGGGAATGTCTAACCCCAATGATCCACAATTAATAACAGCATTGCACTTTCATTCCATTCCCTAGTTCATGAGCTACAACTTGTACTATTCCATTGTTGCAACTCAGCAGGAATTCACCTCACTCATAGCACTCACCAGGAAACCAGATGTGGTAATAAACAGTTTATTGATAGAGCACATAGAAGGAAGGGCCAAAGGCACCTTAAGCAAATAATAGGGTAAAAACCCAAGTGTTAATATAGAAAGCAAGTTCCATGGGCAATAGGTAAATCCAAAAACAAGAGTTAAAACTTGAACATTAATCCAGAAAACAAGGAACAAAACAAGAGCACGAATCCATAGGTAAATCCATAAAGCAGGAAGCAAAATTTGACTAGGAATCTTGGGCCTTGAGCTTAATGCATGAACCAGGAACAAGATAGGAGTTTCCCACTCTAGGAGCGACATTGCTTAATCTGAAATCCTAACAGCTCTCTCTCTCATTTAAGGGCTGCAAAACATGAACACATACCTTTGACCTTGAGAGGCCTGCTTCTGCCTCTCCTTCCCATGGCTTTGCTTGCACCTGAATTTCCTCCCCCTCAGGAGCAGCCTGGTATCTCTGTCTAAGCCAGTTGCTTCTTCAGATGAGCTAAAGTTATCCTCCCCTCCCTGCCTGTCAGCTTAGAAAGCAGTTTCACTCCCACACTCAGAAACAACATCACGCTCCAAACCCCCCTCTGTTCTCCCAACTGGAGAACCACCTTGGTCCAAAACCCCCTCTGTCTGGGCACCCACAGAACCATCAGGCCATGCACCCCCAAACCCCTCATCGTCATCAGCTGGTTGAACTACAACATCCATTCCCCTGTTCCTGGTTATAGTTAGCCATGTTTTACGACCGTTCTCACCATAGGTTATTGGACGCTGTTTTGAGTTGAAATAATTGTTTTATATGCTTGTGGGGTTTTTTTTGTATTGTGTGTTTATTTTTTGCATTATTCCAGGCACATTGAGCCGTATGTAAGCTTCCCTGAGTCCCTTTGGGGAGATGGAGGCGGGGTACAAAAATAAAATACTACTACTAATTATTATTATTATTGTGTGGCTGTAAAATAATACTCGAGCTTATCAGGCAAAGATGTAGAGTTCTTTACAAGTTACCAAAAGGTTTATTTACATATAAGAACTACATTTCTTGATAGGAAAGAATTGGGTCTAAGCGTCTCTCTATCTCCAGAACTTCTAAGTTCCAAAACAAAAGGAAAAACCTCCAAACACTAAATCTCTTCAAACATGTTGTAAACCTCCTTGAGTCCCCCCAGGGTGAGAAAGGCAATATATAAATACAGTAAACAAATAAATTATAAATAGAGTAGAGAAGGGTCTGAATGCAAAGATGGAAGAAACAAGTCTTCAACAAAAGTGCGTAACGTGAAGAGTATCCATTCCTCACCAGGATGAGACAGAAAGAGAGAGAGATAAATAGATACATTTCAACTGACATCCAGGAGTGGGGGGGGGGGTCCCCTCAGTCTATTCTAAAACTAACTCTTCCTCATTGAGGACTGCAGGCTTGGGCAGTGTGGCTTGAATTCCAACATTTTGAAGGTGCTATAGGTCAGTGTTAATAGCCTTATTTTCTGACTGTCCTTGCGAAATTATCAAATTTGCTCAGATTAAGAAAACGTAATGGAAAATGTTTCTGAACACGTTTCAAAGGCAGCTCCACATATATCAGGTTGCAGTGATCCAAATGGTGTATAACTAAAGCATGTATCATTCTGACCGGATCAGACAACAAAGGATAATATACCCTGCTTCAAATGAAGGAAAATCAGTTCATTGTCTCAGTGTACTGAAATAACAAAAGTGCACTTTACACTATATGCCATGACAGTAACTTTGATATGTATGAGTTTTCAGACAGTTGTCTTTTTCGCCTGAATCATTTACTAGATGTAACTAGATCTCCTTTGATATTTAGTCTTCAAAGCCTAAATTCAAAATCATTACTTGTGACTATTGCCAAAGAAAATGTTTGCAAAGATTGGAACATTCACTTTCATGTCGTTTGCATGCTCTCCATCACCTCTCAATTGGTGAGAAGAAAATGTATGAAAGATGCATCTCGGAAATGATTCATATAGGATGTCATTACAACATATAGTCTTTTGTAGGAATTGGAACAGGAAAATGGAAAATGGAGATTAGGGAGGAAGAAAAAATGGAGGACTTGGCTGACTAGAACCATGCATAGAAGCACAATGTTAGGAGATAAATACAACATGGTCCCCAGATCCATTGGGGATATATTCCTGAACTTCATGTGGATACACGAAACTGCAAATAATAGTGAACCTATTGAAATGAAGAACTTCTGGTCCAAGATTACTATCGAGCCATGCTGGAGGATTTAGAAAATGCCTAGAGAGAATATTTTTATTGCACATGGATAAATGAAACCATAAGTATTGGTCCTGCGGATATGGGAATAATATTGTTTATACAATCTCGGTATTTTGTGGCTGAAACCATGAATGAGGTGGTACTTCTGTGAAGATATGACAATATGCTGTTACAGAATGACATTGTTGTTTACACTTGTGGGATGGGATAATTCATGTATGGTATGTATGTATTGCTAGAAGGTTCTTCTTCATGTTGCTGGATTTGGAGTGGCAACACTCTTTAAGGCGGCAAGGATACCGAAGCTTTTTTCAGGAAAAAAAAATCCAGTAGCAATACTGAAATAACTGCTGCAGGTCTACAGTCCAGTATCCAACCAACAAAATAACTGGGTCGCTGTGAGTTTTGTGGGCTGTATGGGCATATTCCAGAAGCATTCTCTCCTGGCATTTTGACCACATCTATGGCAGGCATCCTCAGAGGTTGTGAGGTCTGTTGGAAACTAGGCAAGTGGAGTTTATATATCTGTGGAATGTCCAGAGTGGGAGAAAGAACTCTTGTCTGCAAGTGTGAATGTTGCAATTGGCCACCTTGATTAGCATTGAATGGCCTTGCCCCTTCAAAGCCTGGCTGCTTCCTGCCTGGGGGAGTCCTTTGTTGGATGGTGTTAGTTGGCCCTGATTGTTTCATGTCAGGAATTCCCCTGTTTTTTTTAATCTTACTCTTTATTTACTGTCCTGATTTTGGAGTTTTTAAAATACTGATAGCCAGTGTAGATCCAGTCTCAGATTGAAGAGGGAATACATTTTTTTGAAACCGGATTATTGCCACTGAGGGCATAATAAAGCAGCTTTGGCACAGCAATAGCCACAATCTAATCAAAGGAGAGCATTATTTGTAATAAGAGGGCCAACTTGAATCCTATTATGGGTGGCATACAAATGCAACAAATAAATGCATAAATAAAAATGAGTAAAACCAGCATTCCCAAATAGGAAGCTGTCTAGATTGCTGGACTGCAACTCTATCATTGCTGGGGATGAGGTTTGAGAGTGTAGCCAAATGCTCTAAGGATAATTTGCATCAGTACAGAGACTATCGTCATTTGCAAGAAGGAGACCAAGGAAAACTGTAGTTTCTTTTTAAGTAGGAAAAAAAAGATTCACTACAGATACTTCCCCCATGTCACACAGCTCAGAAATATAATAATCTGACTGAAAAGGAGTATTTCCAGTGGAAATATACCAGAAGCGATCTGAGCTCATTGTTTTTGAAACAGAAGGGACAAAAAGAATAGGAACAAATCCTGTGGGATTTAGTTCTGATCTGTCTTGTATAAGCATTTGGTTACTCCCAAAAATTTCCACCTTCCTCAGAAGGGATGTTTAGTCATCAGGGTTTTTCCCCCTGTTCTGAAGCCTAAAAAAATATTGGTTGTAACAAGCATGATTTCCACATAATATTCAGTGACTGTATAGTATGATGACTGAACAAAGCTGATGCTTTTGGCACACCATAAAGTTTAAGCATTAAGCAAAGCCGTGCAATAACTCCATCTGCCCATAGATGACAGCAGCTTCTAACAAAGCTCTGTTCAGGCCATTTAAGGTCAATGAACATTGTTAACACAAAAGACAAACAGTGAAACAATTTCTAATTTGTAGCTTAATTTACCCCTAAACCAAAACCATAGTGGTAAACACTGCTTATCTATCAAGGCTACTCTTTGATCTGATTCCATTGCATATTGACATAATCAGCACCGATTATGCAGGAGCAA